TTGTATACTCTTTCAGAGCAAGTTCACAATCTGAAATGATCTGCTTTTTCTTCATCGTAGATTTCCCCCCCCCTTATTTCTTTTCTTTTACTCCTGCACTGTAACAGCGGTGCTGTAGATTAAGCATTGGTTAAGCAAACTGAGAGTTCGATGGCTCGACTCCCCCCAGCTGCTCTGCTGGGGGAAGATGACGTAGTCTCCCCCACCCCCAACCCGTGAAAATTGACAGCTTGGAAAGCACTCTGTTGCTGTTGTGTTGTGTATACCCTCAAGCAGGATCCAAGCATGACTAACCCTCTAGAGGGTTTTCAGAGGCAGTAAATCACTTGGGAGGAGATTGTCCATCTTTCTACTACGGAGCAGCCGATAGATTCGAACCACATACCTTTGCGTTGGCAGCTAAATTCCTTATCACAGGGAGTTCCAGTGGCCTAGTGGCAAGAAGCTGTGCAGCAATCCCAAAGGCCCACGGTTTGAGGCCAGCAGCTGCTCCCAAACGATAAACTGCCTCTGAAAATCCGCCCGAGGGTCAGCCATGGGGGTCGGTCCACAGCAAGAACACCTCAAGCTACCACAGCACCCTTGAAAATCCTATAGGTAGTTCTTCTACTCTGTCCCATAGGGTCCCTATGAGTTAAAACTGACTTGATGACAGTGCTTTCTCTTGTTTCCCCCCCCCCCCTTCCACGGGAATGTAAGTTTTACCAAAGTAGATGTGTCTTTCTCATCTTTACATCTGCAAATGCTATCCAGCCCAGAGTCAAAATTAGTTGTCATTGAGCTGACCCCTGGAGACCCCTGTGTGTCAGAGTAGAACTGTGTGTCATCGGTTTTCAGCAGCTGAGTTAGAAGTCGACCGCCAGGCCCTTCTTCCTAGGTACCACTAAGTTGACTTGAAACTCTAACCTTTCTCTCAACTGTACCTGTTTACACCAGATAGAGAGACTCTGGGCATCTCACCACTCAACTCGTTGCTGTTGGGTGGGAACCAAATCCTAGCTGACCTCACAGCAGGTTTTAGGTGGCTGTAAATTGCACAGGAGGGAGTTGCTCATCTTTTCCTCATGATGCAGCCGTGGAATCGGACCGCCAGAAAGGTGCCACCATTATGTTAGCGCAAATCACTACGGCTTTCACCATCAGCCAAAAATCAAATTCACCACGGATTAGTTGACAAGTGGTGGAGTTGAATTCCATTCATGGTGACTCCAACCAGGTTTATGAGGCTGTAAATCTTAACAAGATGAGATTATCTTGTTCCAGCTGAGTGACTGGCAGGTTCAACTACGCCACAAGAGCTCCTTGGTATGTATCAGGTATCTCATCACTATATCTCATTGCTATCATATGAGTTAGGAGCAACTCATAGCTGACCCTCCAGGCAGTTTTCAGAGGTTGGAAACTTCATGCAAGGAGATTTGCCTTTCTTTCATCCCACGGAGCAAATGGCAGATTCGAACCTTCCACCTTTGAGTTGGTAGTGCAACTCCCTACCAGTGAGGCCACCAGAGCAGGTCATTGGCAAAAAGTTGTGAAGTGAATGCAGAAACGGGAGCTGGATACAGCTGATGGTGGCAGATGAGTTTGGGGGGTGTACTTACCTTGAGAAGTGAAGCTGGGGCTGGTTAAGTGCTGGGTAGGTTCAATCTGGGGATCAGGGTTAAGTTTAAGGCTGGATATAAGGTTTAGCATGACCATCTAGAAGCTAAAGGCAGGCTCGCTCCTAGTCAGGAACAAGCAAGCATTTGGGTGCGCAGGGCACTGTGCTGCTGGACGTCCTCCGGTTTGAGCCCACTGAGAGGTGCCTTGGAAAAGCCTGGTGATGTTTATGAAAAATCACAAATTCAACACCCCCCCCCCCTCCCCACAATGGACTTTGAAAGCTCTATTCTGCGTGCTCAGAATCAGTGTGGGTTTAACAGTTGGCTTTTCTGGTTTTCAGAAACCAGTTAATGTGTGAGGTTTGGCTTGGGGTTGGTTACATTCCTACATTGATTGTGTGGGTGCTGGGGTTGGGTTTGAGATCTACTTTAGGGTCAGGGGCTGGGCTCAGGGACGAGAGTCCCAAGATGGGCAGCATCCAGACGAGCCAGCTGGGGGAAGTGGGTGAGGGGTTAAGATTCCAAAGGCCGCAGTTCAAAGACCACATTCCAGACAAAGGACTGAGGGTGGGGGAGGGGAGTCCCGGGCTCTGGTCGCTTCCATTAGTCTGCGCAGCTTGGACCTGGGGGAATCAGATGACAACCCGGGCTGGAACCAAGTCACTGCTGCTGGACCTTCTCCAGTTCCTTCTGTCTCTCTCTCTCTCTTTTTTTTTTTCCTCCAAAATATAATTTTATGATTGCGATTCAATTCACAGACCAGGAAACTCAGCAGTTTAAAGTGGAACAGTCACAAGGTTCCACTTCCACCACCTCACCCCGGAACATATCCATAACCCCCCAAAATAAACTACGTATCGTGTATCATTT